GTGTGTGTGTGGATGTGTGTGTGTGGATGTGTGCGTGTGTGCGTGTGTGTCTGTGTCTGTCTGTGTCTGTCTGTGTCTGTGTCTGTGTGTGTGTGTGTGTGTGTGTGTGTGTGTGTGTCTGTGTGTGTGTGTGTGTGTGTGTGTGTGTCTGTGTGTGTGTGTGTGTGTCTGTGTGTCTATGTGTCTCTTCCTGCTGTGTCTGTCTGTGTGTGTGTGTGTGTCTGTGTCTGTGTGTGTGTGTGTGTCTGTGTGTGTGTGTGTGTCTGTGTGTCTATGTGTCTCTTCCTGCTGTGTCTGTCTGTGTGTGTGTGTGCGTGACTGATCTGTTCTTGCGTCTGCCTCCGTCTTTTCCCGCACTGCCGAGCTTCATCTCTCCATCTGCTACTCACCCTTCTTCCATCCCTGCGGTTGCCCTCGCCTTTACCTCATCCGTACACACACACGCGCACACACACACACACACACACACACAACGCCGCTGCAGACACGACGATCCCGAAGACGATCCACCAGATCTGGCTGGGCAACAACCAGGCGCCGTGCCAGTGGATGGCGGCGTGGATGCACGATTATGTTCAAGCCAACCCGGAGTGGACATACCGGCTGTGGCGCACGGAGGACATTGAGGCGCTACACCTGGAGAACAGCGACATCTTCGCACTGGAGCCGCACCCGGCAAACAAGGCAGACATTGCCCGCTACGAGATCTTATATCGGTATGGGGGCGTCTTCATCGACGCAGACAGCATGTGGATCAACGGCAAGTCGCTGGATCCGCTGCTACAGCAGGCGTCACAGACAGGGCTCTTCTTCGGTGAGGAGGTGCGGCCAGGCAAGATGACGGCGCCGAGCACGGTCACGCCCATCCTGGCGGTGGGTGTTATTGGGTGCGCACAGCACCACCCCGCGATGGCGCACGTGGTCCGCACGCTGGGCCGCGTGTACCGGGACCTCCGCTTCACACAGGGTGTGGCCCGCTGGGAGGCGACGGGGCCAGACTTTGCCACCGCTGCACTGCGCGGCGTGCCCAAGACGGTGTTCCCGACCTTCTACTTCTTCCCTGGCGGGTGGTGGGGCACCGACGTGGGCCTTACGCAGGAGGACGCTGAGCGCGTCAACCCAGACTCGTACATGTACCAGTTTGGGTACAGCACGGGCGACCCCTTGGATACGCAGATCAAGCGCGCGCTGGCGTCGGCCTCCGCTTCCCGCAGCGCTGCCATCAAGCAGTGCCTTCGTCGCTTTGGCGACAACGCGTCATAACTACGGCCTTTCGCTCTGTGTGTGTGTATGTATGTGTTGGTGTGTTGGTGTGTGTGTGTGTGTGTCTGTCTGTCTGTGAGTTGTGTATGTGTTGGCGCGTCAGTGTCTGTGTGTCTGTCTGTGAGTTGTGTGTGTGTGTGTGTGTGTGTGTGTGTGTGTGTGTGTGTGTGTGTGTGTGTGTGTGTGTGTGTGTGTGTGTGTGTGTGTGTGTGTGTGTGTGTGTGTCCATCAACCCTCTACCTGCCCATCTACCTGTCCGTCTGTCTGGCTGGCAGGCTGGTTGTCTGTTTCCTGTCAGTACGTATTGCCGCTATCATCTCGCCCTTTCTCTCCCTTGTCTTTCTTCTTCGCTCGACTGTAGGCTTGGCTTCGTTCACTCCCTTGTACACAGAATCTACAACAAGTACACCCGCAAACAAAGGGTTTCATGAACACGGCGTGCTCACTGCTCACAGCGCGGTTGAGTCCAGGAAAGGAAGCATGGTCTGCTTGGCACTGAGGTGGAGAGAGGCAGGGTATGAGGGGGGGGCGAGAGGTGCATGCGTCAAGCACAGTGACCAGCACACAAGCGAAAGGAACTTCACAACACACACACGCACACACAACACGCACACACACACACACACGCACACACACACACACGCACACACTCACTCACACATTTTCACACACACATACACACACACGCACACACTTCCAACCTCTTTGATCTGCGCGTGCGGCGGCTGCGGCGCTGGGACGGTACTGCGCGTGATGATGACGACGATGACTGGGCCTTGCTACTGCTGGCGCTGTGGCCACTCCTGCCACTGCCACCGCCGCCCTTGCTGCTACTGGTGGTGGTTGTGCTGTCTGTGCTGCCGCTGACAGAGATGTCGTGGTCGACGCTGCTGTGGTTGGCGTGATCGTCGCTTCGCCGCTTCGCTGTGCTTGCGTGCCCACTCGACCTCCGCGGACCAGACGGCAGCGCCGCAAACAGGTGCGACTCAAAGTCAAGCGGGTTGAACCGTCCGAGGCTCGGCACCTGCACGTCCATGTGTGTGTGTGTGTGTGTTGAAATACAAAGCGTTACGAATTGCGTGTGAAAACATCCGACACGCGATTCCAACACCACTGTCATCACCTCTGTGAGAGCGGTGTGTATGGCTGAGGCGATGGCCGTGTCCTGTTGCTGCTGTGTGTCGGTTGGATCAATGCCCCATGCCGTGTCTACGTGGTTCATCAGCTCCCGGCTAGCCACGGCCTTGTGGGAGTTGGTCAAAGGGTGAGGGTGGAGATTAGTTTGGCGAGACGCAGGAAGGCAGGAAGTCAGGCAAGTACAAGGATGGGCAGGCATGCACACAACACACGCAAGCAGAGAGACACCAAACAACACACAACATACACAACACACAACATACACGCACGCACACACACACACAACACAACACACACGCACGCAACACAACACACACACACATATGAGCGCTCACGACACACACGCACACGACACACTCGCACACAACACACACGCACACAACACATGAGCGCTCACGACACCTTGAGCCAGAGCACCGGCGGGGGTGGCTGCGATGATGACGACAGGTGTGACGGTTCGACGGCAGGGAACACGACAAAGTAGGATGCAAGACCAAAGTCGCACTGCTTCTCCAACACCAGCTTTGTGCCCTGTAGTGGATGAAAGGCGGATGCATAATGTGAGCATGTTTGGATGGGGTGCCGACGCAAATGTGCCTGCATGGCGTTGGATGATGGTGACAGAGCGTGACAAGCGCCGTGCGCCACCGACCAGCGTCTTCTATTTGCACCCGACTCACTTCTGTTTGCAGCCTGCGGGCGAGAGCCTCAAAGCGCTGGCTGTGCTCCTTCAGCTTCACCCACGAGAGGCTGGGGAGGGTTGTGGGCTTCAGGATAAATGTGGTCCCAAACAGCTGCGGCCGGTGTGTTGATGTGAGTCGGCACGGAAATGGTGTGCGGCTTGCACGTAGGCACATCAAGACGCAGCGAGAGAGAACGGCAAGAGGGGAGGACAGCACGAGCAGCAGTGGAGTCCAGCCAACCACAACAACAACACCAACCAAGGCGGAGGTGACGCTGGCGACCTGTGCACGCGCCACAAACTGGAGGTCGGCCGGCTCGCTTGCAGCCGCGTCATCCACGAGCGCGTGCGCGCGCATGCGGCGCGGTTTCATGGACAACTGGCACGCAGCATTTGCGTGTTTGAGAGGGGTGACAGGAGGTGTGGGGGTCACGTGAAGGCGTGCACACCGTGAGCAGAGTCTGGGTGTGCAAATAGGGGTGCTGCATGCTTGCTTCATGGCTTGCACTCGCATGTACACATGTACACATGTACACATGTACACACACACACACATGTACATGTGAGTACACACACACACACACACATACACGACTGGCAAACCTGGAAGTGGGCGCCATATGGGCCCGGGATGTTGGCGACCGGATCCAACACGACTGGCTGGAGGTCGCATTGGACCTGAACCTCGTTGGCAAGGGTGATACAGGCCTGGCGGTGGGCCAGCGCCGACGATGGCTGCCACCACTGCCGAAAGAACATGCTGAGCGTGTGTCTGGACGCGGCGACGTGCTTGACCGCAAAGTCCTCTGGGAGCGTCAAGTCTCCGTCCGTGTCCATACCAGTACCACCAGCATCCTCCGCAATCAGCGCAGCCACGTTTGAGCCTTCAGCATGGAGCAGCACCAGCTCGCTCTGCTCCGGCTCCCTGTGTGTGTGTGTGTGTGTGTGTGTGTGTGTGTGTGTGTGTGTGTGTGTGTGTGTGTGTGTGTGTGTGTGTGTGTGTGTGTGTGTGTGTGTGGTTAGGGGGGATGAGGGATGGGAACAATTCGTGACACTGCACAGGACGAAGGCGAGCACCACGTCGGCACTTACTCCAGAGCCGTTAGCGCACTCGAAGCAACTTGTTGTACATGCTGCTGAAGAGTGTCTGCAAACACGTACAAGCTGTGCAAATGTGTCGCGGAAGAAGTTATCAATGAAGAGGTGGTAGGGTAGTACGGAAGTACGAGTGTGTGTGTGTGTGTGTGTGTGTGTGTGTGTGTGTGTGTGTGTGGACTGGGGATTCTTTTGTTGCTGAATCCGAGAGCAGCGTATGCCTGGGGAACAGGAGTGGATTTGCAAACAGGTGTGCAATGGCAACACAAGTCTGATAGGAGCACGCACTTGCTAAACGCCTCGATGGATGCAGGAACAAGAGTTGGCGATGTGTGAAGCGCGGGAAAGTGTGCCCAGCTGCTGTGATCGAGTTCTGTGATGCGCGTCAGCACATCGACAGCTTCGTCAGATGACAACCAACCGCTGCGCAGCAACGTGGCCGACAGGGAAAGAGAAGGGGGGAGAGGGCTTGACTCGGTGAGCAAAGCGGGTGGAAAGGCACATCTTTGCTGCATTCCTTGATTGGAATCAACACACAACACACATTCTCACGTGCACGGCTGCGCCGTCGCCCACATGATCCACGCAAGCAAGCAAGCAGCCATCACACGCACACACGCACGCACTCTCACACACTCTGTCTCTCTCTCTCGCACCCTCACGCACACACTCTCACACACGCACACACGCTCACACACTCTCACACACGCACACACGCTCACACACGCACACACTCTCACACACACGCCCACACACACACTCTCTCTCTCCCTCTCTGTCCACACGCACGTGCTTGTTTTGCCGTTTGAGGAGAACTGCCAAAAACAGGCGCTCTGCCACCATGCGTGGAGCTTGATGACGTTCTTGAGCTCTGCAAGCGCCTGCACAAACCACGCAGCCGATGTCTGCTGCTGCAATGGGGAGGACACAAACACAACTGTGCGAGCAGATGCCATGATGATGACACATTAAGGTCGAGAACAACAAGCAATCTTGTTGGTGAGGTTAAAAGTGCTTTAACACGTGTGAAAGCCATCTCATGTCAACACAAACTGAGCTGCAAAGCAAGAAAGCAGCGAGCATTGCAAAGGCAGACACAGGTGTACAAGGTGTACAAGGTGTGTACAAGGTGTGTACAAGGTGTAGAGGTGTACAACTCACAGCACCACCATCAAGAAGCAAGAGCGCCACGACTGCAAAGCACCCTGTTTGAACGTTTCCCGCCAAAACACCCACCGCTCACGACACCACATATGATTGAAATGCAAAACGCCGGCGGTTTTTTCGTTTCGTGCGAACCTTGAAATCGAACGTCCCGAGCGCGTCCCGAGAACGCGTGGTATGCCCCGCTTCGCGTCGCCTCAAACCTTTGGCCCTTGCCCATGTAGGCTCAGCGTGTGTTGTGTGTGTGTGTTGAGGGGTGCAAAACAACAATGTCAACAAGCGCGGCAAGGAAGTGCGCTTGTGCGATTTGCACACGCGATGAGTGTGGTCTTTGTTCTTTGTTCTGTGTGTTTGCGGAAAAGGCAAAGAGAGTGTGTGTGCTTGCTTGTTTGAGAGACGAGCCTCTTTCATTTGTTTGCTTGTGCTCTTCCTTCCCGCTCCCTTGAACCCTGTTGATCGGCAACGACCAAGACGGCGACCAAACAAACACAAACACTCTCACAAAGATACTAAAGATACACTCACTCACATACACACGACACACACGAACGAACAAGCGGTCATCTCGTCATGACCACGCAAAGACGACGACCTGTGCCACAAGCACCGCAAGCATCACCAGTCGTGTGTGGCCATACTCATCCACGAGCGCTGTCCTTATTCCACAGTTTTGATGGTGTGGAAGTGGTCATGACTACTGCACACTTCGAGTCTCACCAGTGGCAACGGAAGCAGAGGAAGCGATCTCGCTACCCGCATCACCAGCGCGCACCGCGAATTGCTGCGCAAGATCCTCGGTTGGCTTGGCTGAAGAGGAAGACCAATCACAGTCACGCCCCCGTTGCCGCACACACAGAGACATACTCCTCCTCCAACACGGCCAATACCAAGCCACAGAGCGATGCGGCAGAAGACGGTGCGTCCGTTCCTTCGCCCACCACCTCCTCTTCCTCGCCGGAGTGCTCGGAAGGAGGGTCTTGGAGACGGCCGTCGCTCGACCTTGAGCCTTGTGCCAAGGAGGTGCTGGCTGCCCGGCCAAGCGTTGCCCTCTCGCGCGATGCACTCACGCCATCGACCCTCAGTGGCTCCGACTTTGAGGAGCTGATGCTTGATGTCTTTGGTGAGGCGGACGAATGGAGAAGGATGGGCGCCCAGCACAGTGACAACAGCTGTGACAACAGCTGTGGTGAAAGTGGCCCGTTTGTTGACAGCGCTGTGCACAGCGTGCCGTCGCCGTCGCCATCGTCGTCACTGGACTCAGCATCATCGCCTTCATCGGCGGGAGGAGATGATGATGGTTACGACAATGATGGTGACGACAATGATGGTGACGAGGAGGAGAATAAGAGCTGTGCGACAAGGGAACCGGCGGAACCAGCACACCGCGGCCACTGCACCTCGCCTCCACCCAAGCGCGCTCACCTCATACGGAGCGGTGCTGAAGAAGAAGCAAAACACACAGCACAAACAACCCCCATGCAGGAGCGAGGAGAACAACAACAAGAAGCAGCACTCGTAGCAACACAAAGACAAGCGGCACCGGTGTCAACCCCAGACGAGCAACGCACCGTCGCTCAGCAAGTACGAAGTGTGCTTGCATTGGCTGCTTCCCCCCCCCCAAACTTGCTTCTGTGTGGCCTCTGGCTGACTTCTTTATTTGCATGTGGTCTCTGGCTAAACGCCTTCCCATGCACACACACACGTACGCACACACTCATGCGATCGTGCTTGTTTGCATTGCCTCTGTATGTGAACAGGTGCAAGGTCAGAGGTTGGATGAGCTCGTACGCCGCGCTGGAGGCGGTGAGTCGAGCGAGCCGGAGCGAAAGGGTGGTGGGGTCTATGGAAGCGGTTGGAGCAGCCTGACGTGCATGCAGTGCAGCGTCTCACCACACGCCCTGCTTGCTTGCACACCCGTATGTCGCTGTAGGCCTGTGTCTTGGCTGCAACAACATCAAGCCACTGGAAATCAGGCGGTGCCTCTCCAAGAAGGTCTGTACACGTGTGTGTATGCGCATGTGTGTGATGTGATTTGGTTTGTTTGTCTGTTGTTGTTGTTGTTGTTGTTGTTGTTGTTGTTGTTGTTGTTGTTGTTGTTGTTGTTGTTGTTGTTGTTGTTGTTGTTGTTGTTGTTGTTGTTGTTGTTGTTGTTGTTGTTGTTGTTGTTGTTGTTGTTGTTGTTGTTGTTGTTGTTGTTGTTGTTGTTGTTGTTGTTGTTGTTGTTGTTGTTGTTGTATGAACTGAAGGCACTGAGGAACGATCACAGTGGTTTCAAGTGCCTTGAGAAGTGTGTGTTCGCTGACAAAACAAATGCTTGTTGCTCATTATGTACGCGACACCACAGGGCAAGTTTGCAATCTGCAACGCGTGTCGGAAGACGCACTTGTATCGGATCATGAGAGACATTCGGTCCTGGAACTCGACACACCGCCCGCAGCTCCAGGCCATGGGCGTTGCCGAGCGTGACACAGACAGCCTCATGTGTGCCGGTGCGTTGTACGTCTTTGTGTGTGTCTTCTTGTCTTTGTGTGTGTCTTTGTGTGTCTTTGTGTGTGTCTTTGTGTGTCTTTGTGTGTGCGTGTGTGTCTTTGTGTGCGTGTGTGTGTGTGTGTGTGTGTCTTTGTGTGTGTGTGTGTGTGTGTGTGTGTGTGTGTGGAAGGGGGTGCAGTTTCACAATTTCACGGCTTTCTTGTTGGCCCATGCAACACCACACTCAACTCAGTAGCATTCACAATGGGTCTCTGCTTCTCTCTAATCACACACACACACACACACATGTAACAAAATACAAATACACACACACACACACACATGCACACAGCGTTGTCACACGGGTGGCACGACTCGCGCATGTCCAGGATTCTGCATCTTGCCTTGTCATCCGGTGCGTCGCTCGTATGATGGGATCAACTACGTGCATGGCACGCGTTGTCTACATGCATGCGTGCACAGCTCCTTGCGTGCATCGGTGTGTATTGCATCCACTGACTCTGAGCTGTGCCCGAACCCCTCCTCCCACCTGCGCCTCGTCCTTCGTCTCCATCGCGCTCTTCAGATCCGAGGCATGTGGCGTACACGCTGCTTGCGGACGAACACATCCAAGATCTGCGCAAGCGGATTCAAGAGCTACTGCACACCATCAGCGAAGGGCCAGACACGGGCGGCAACGCCACCGCACCTGTGGTGCTCTTCTCCCACATCACGGTGAGGGATTTGGGGGTCGGTGAAGGGAGGAGAAAGCAGAGAAAGCAGAGAGGATGGAAAGGGAACAAGGGGGGGGGGCTCGATGTGGCGTTAACAAGAGGCAGAAGGGGATTGCACGAAGGACGAATGACGGTGTTGTCGCACAATGAAATTACACTACACTGTTGTCGACAATACATTGATTCACTCCCCCTGCACACACGCACACATTGTACACCCTGCACACACGCACACACACATCGCACACATCGCACGCACACACACACACACACACACACACACACACACACACACACACACACACCACGCCCCAGGTGCTGGGACAGCCGTATTGTGTGGGACTGCAGGCGGTGGTGAGCCGGGCGCAAGACCATGTTGCTCGGAAGGTGCAGGCATGTGTGGTGCGAGAGCTCAACCGCGTGTTGGACCTGAAAACCGCACCACCGCCGACAAGCACAACGACAAGCGAGCGCGATACTGCGCTGCAATTTGCCCTGCAGGCACACACCCCTTCGGTGCCATGCTTGAAGGAACGCGACGTCACGGTACTGTTCGAATCCTAACGCTTTTCACCAATTGCGCGTTTTACCCCAACAAAAACATAAACGAACTTCAAGATGGCAGTGGCGAAAGGCGCACAGCAGCAAGACGTTGAAACTCACAACCAAGTACACCACCAACCAACAACAAGCACGATGGTGGGCGTGCGTGTCCTGCTGTGGTGGTGGTGAGGAGCAGAGAAGACAAAGGGCTCCGCTGCAAGTGTGCCTCTTCTGGTTGTGCTCAGACGCTGCGACTCAAAGACCTTGTCGTTTGTGGTGCTGTTTGTAGAAAGGGAAGCGGTGGAGGAAGACACCAGCCGAACCACATTGCAAGAGGGCGAAGCAGCCCCATCTTGCATCCATCAAAAAGTTTGAGGAAGGTGTGGATGTCGGCTAGGGGTGGGAGGGGTTGTGCGTTTGTTTGTGTGTGTGTGTGTGTGTCTGTGTGTGTGTGTGTGTGTCTGTGTGTGTGTGTGTGTGTGTGTGTGTGCTTGTGTGTGTGTGTGTGCGTGTGTGTTTGTGTGTGTGTGTGTTTGTGCGTGCGTGTTGGTGTGTGTGTGTTTGTGCGTGCGTGTTTGGTCATTACATGTAAGCATAAGAAGCATCAGTATGTCAGTATTGTATGGTCAGCTGCTCACTTGCTCGTGTCGTGTGCGCGTTTGCTCACGTACATATCATCACCTGCTCCTGTATTGCGTTGTTTAAGGCCATTGCTTGGGATGCGACACGTGGAAACCCTTGGAGAAGCGGCTGGTTCGCAAGCGAGAATATGTGAGTGCAAACGGGAAGCGAAGCCTGCGTGACATGACACCAGTGCCAGACATGCTCCCCGCCTGCAGATCCTGCTGTTGCGCATGCTTACGTGCACAGAGCGCATGCGTGTGTGCGTGCGTATGTTGTTCGCATGCGTGCAAAACACACGCATGCGCACACACATACACACAACATTCGCACATACACACGACATTCGCACTCACAAGCGTACATCTAGACATCTCCACCATTTGCTCGCCCTCGCTCACAGCTACCTTTTACAGACATTTGAGGTGTGCAATGCGTGTCGGAAGACGCACTTGAGCAAGGTCATCCGCGAGATGAATGACGTGTCGGACAATTGGGTGACTCGACTGGACACAGACAGCACACTCGCACAGGCCATGCTCCACAAATTCCCCGCATGTCACCCGAAGGCAGCAACTCAGACCCCACACAGCAGCAGCAGCAAAGAGTCGCGTGGTGCACAAAACGACGATGACGACAAAGAGCAGCAGCACAACGGTGACAAAGAGACAGACAAGGCCCCTTCAACAAGGCAGTTGAGGCGCACCACCCGCACCGGAACTCGCCGGCAATTGACGGAGGGCAGCTGGACCGCGCTCGCCGAGACGCTGGCACGACAGGGTGTGTGTGTGCTGTGTGTGTGTGTGTAAGTGTGTGTGTGCTGTGTGTGTGTGTGTGTGTGTGTGTGTGTGTGCAAGTGGGTTGCAATTGTCGCGAGTGCCTTGTGCGGCATGCTGTGGCACCGTTTGGCACTTCTTTGCTTCAGTCACACTCAAAGTTTGCTGCATGCTTCGCAGAACTGATGCAACGGTGGAAAGATGCGCGGAAATCGCGCGTGCTGCAGTTGTACTGCCGCTCAGGTGAGGAGCCCAATGCATACGTCTGCGCACTTGGCTTGTTCCGTCTTGAGGTTCATGTCATATGGGCCTGCTTTCAGTGGCTGGCTGGTGTTGTTTCCTCCCTTGTCTTGATGCCCTCACAACATGTCGTGTGGCCACTGCAGACATGGTACACGTGCGCTTCACCCTGTTGATGGAGAAGCATCTTGAAGCAGTTCGCGCGGCCCTGCTGAAAGAATGCGCGAAAACACGACACCAGCAAGAAACAAGGGGCCATGCATCTTCAGCGACTGGAGACACATTGAGTGCAACCGACACAGCGTCTGCAACTTCTGCGCGTGCGACGAAGCCTTTGAGTGATTCAAGCACCACCACCATCTTTACAATCAAGGTGCATTTCGGTTGTGCTGTGCTGTGCTGTGCTGTGCTGTGTGTGTGTGTGTGTGTGTGTGTGTGTGTGTGACTTGATCTTGTGCTTGTGTCACTGCTTTCTGATATTCAAACACCTGCATTTCCCCTAAACCCTTTCCGCGCCTCCCCACTCACCAGCCCACAACACACACACACACACACACACACACACACACACACACACACACACGCTCGCATGCAGGTGCGTGGACAAGTGTTCTCTGTTGGCCCGTTGGTGCTGCCGCGTGCAGCCACTGCTGCGTTCCTTTCACGTGCCAAGCTCATTGTGCGAGACTTGCTCAACGGCGCCAACAAGGTGCATGCAAATCAGCGGCGTTTGGCGTCTTGTGTTTTCTGTTTCAATGCATTCTCAAACATAACATGCCTGTCTTTGACGATTGACATGACCTTCTTCACCCCACCTCAGCACCTCACTCACGAGCACCCTCCACCCCACCTCTTGGGTTCTGTTCTTTGCTGAAAAGGCACTGATCGCCACCGCCGCCACCACTTCTTTGAGGACCACTCACGCTGGCGATGACGATGACGATGACGAGGATGATGGTGGTGGCAGGTTGCCCAGCTTACCGCAGGAGCCACCACAGGAGCCACCGCAGGATCGCTCGTTTCACAGCATGTGTTTGCTTCATGGCTATGCCAACGAACACCTGGACGTGGCAGACATTGCCTTTCTCACCGCTGGCTAATGTCGCTTCCCGCTTGGTTGTTGGTCTGGTTGTCGCGTTGGTGTTGGTGTTGTTGGTGTGTGTGTGTGTGTGTGTGTGCTGTTGAGAGACGTCTGTTGTATTGTTGTTGTGTGTGAGCTCAAGCTCAGCGACTCGCGCCGTTTCCGCTGACGTCAGCAATTGATGCCTGTCGCGATTAAAGACCAAACTTGGTCGAAAAGTCCAACGACTTTGAAAAGTGCGATGACGTGATTGCGTGACACACGTGTGACATGGACGTGAGCAATGCGTTCCTAACGCTTCTTCTTGATGTGATGTGTCATCCTCGACGCCGTCCGTGACTCTGCACACCAGCCAACGCAAACACACACACACGCAAACACACACATCCCCATTTATTCCCTCTGCTTGTCGACAAAACACAAACCGCCACAAGGTCACAAGCCCAGCCAGGACACCTTTGCAAAGAGCAGCGTCCTCTCTCTCTCTCTCTCGCCCCTCTCTCTCTCTCTTGCCACGTTTGTTATTGTGAGCATCACCATCGGACGAAACGAACAAACGCAAAGCAGGGAGCACGCAAAGAGATCGAAGAGAACAAAGGATAGACGAGACAAGAACACAACAACCAAACAGCACCCGACCACGGACGAGCAGACAGCGTCGTCAGTTCGACACTCCCACACCTGCAATCGACTGCAAGCGCCTGCAACACCGCATTACCTTTGTTTTGGACCACAGCAAGGTTGACCTGCTGAAGCAGACACCTGGCGTATTACACGAAGCTCCAAAGGCAACCAACGAAACAAGGCCTTCGGTGTGTATGCAAGCATGTGGTGTTTGTGACGTGAGCGCTGGTTGGGGTGAGTCGTGTCTCGGCAGAGGTTTTTGTATGTGTCATCGTGTGATACGCCTGAGCAGCTGCTCATGAAATCGATTCCACCGTGACACACACACACACACACACACACACACACACACACACACACACACACACACACACACACACACACACACACACACACACACACACACACTCATGCAGTGCAGGCACATTGTTCGCGTGACCCGTCACAGCCCCACAGTCAGGCATGAGCAACTACCCGAACCAAGGGACTGACCATGAAGACCAACGCGAACCCACGCTGCCTTTTGCGGTTCGCAAACTGCTTGATGTATGCTCATGTGCTGGCATTGTTGACGCTGCTGGTGCGAGTACGTTGCGGCGAGGGCATTGTCACGCGGCTTGTGCGACTTCAGAGCCTCATCCCCCAAGTCTGTACCTCCGTGCTTGTGCTTGATAGACGTTGGAGCAGCAGCAGCAAGCGCAGGCAACTGCGGGGCCAAGCGAGGACTTGGCCTGGAGCACCGTGTCACTCCTTCCATCCTCTTCCCTGTACCATCAAGCCACAGCACCTCCTCTCCAGCCACGGCAACAGGTCCCGCAGCACGTGCCGGCCCGAGACCAACCGCAACACCGAACCGTGTCCGACACGGAGGCTTCGCCAACCTCGACAACGATGCCACGTGCACCGTTCCAGCAACAACAGCAACAACAGCAACAACAGCAACAACAGCAACAGCAGTTGCAACGACAACAGCAGTTGCAACGACAACAGCAGCAACAGCAGCAACAGCAGCAGCAGCAGCAGCAGGCAACACAGCGACTCTCCCCACTACCACTGTATGAAATGCCATACGAGCAGCAGTATATCCCGACGTTGGGCCAGGGCTCATCAAGTGGGGATGTGGATGCGCCGGAGCAGCCGCCGGTGAGTGCCGCAAACAGTTACCTCCCATCGCACGACGTCACTCTCCCTGGCCCTTTTCCTGGCGGCTCATGGCACCCACTGCATGCCACACAAGACGCACGCTCGCCGCTGCCCAAACGCAGCAACAGCAACGAGGAGCCCTATTTTGCTGAGCGCCTTCGCAGCTCCCTCGCCACCGCACAGCAACAGCCACAACAACCACCACCACAACAACAACCACCACAGCAACAACAAGACTGGCACCAACAGCAGCAGTACCAACCATCGGTGCCAACAGCGGCTTCTTCGCAACACCACCAACAGCAACAGCAACAGCACCAGCAACAGCAACAACAGCAACACCAGCACCACCAGCAGTTTCAACCACTGCTCCATGCATCTCCAACACAACCAACGGAGCCAAGCCACCCATACCCGAGCAGAGAGTTTCAGGACCAGTTCTCGGGCACGTCTGCGCTGGATTTGCCCCTGATCGATATGGCACAGCAACAAGCATCGCAACATGGTCAGCCGTCGCAACGCCTGACAGGGTCGCACTCCGCTCACATGATTCAACACAGCAGGCCTCGCCCTTCGGCCACGCACCACCACGCAACTGCCAGCAGCAGCAGCAGGAACAGCAGCAGCAGCAGGACCAGGACCAGCAGCATCAACAAGAACTGCAGCACCAACAGCAGCACCAACAGCAATAGCAGCGCTGCTACCAGCCAGCAGCGTTCTGCCACGGCAAGCCAGCGCGCGCTTTCCCCCGTCCAGGGGACTGCAGGACGTGGAGGAGCAAAAGGCTGCTGCCAGCACGAACCTGCGCTGGACACGCTGTTCGAGCAGCCAGTGAGCGTCCAAAGCGAGAGTGCAGCAAGTGTCCTCAGTGGTGACGGGGACGGCAATGCCAGCACTGTCAACTTGTTAGATGATGATGATGATGATGACGGTGGCGGCAGCGACCAAGCTGTTGATGGGCAAAGGGTGCAACAGCCCACTTACCAGACGCAAGGGCAAACGACAAGCCGCCAACGTAAGGCACGCCAGTGTGGGTGCTCTTTCTTTGGATGAGTGGTGGTTAGGTCGCCATGCTGACTCTGTTTGTGTACTTGCTGGCTCGGTCTCTGTACTTGCTTGCTGACTTTGTCTCTACACTCGCCGGCTTTATCTGAGTATCTGTGCGCTCGCCGGCTCAGTCTCTGTTCCGTGCTGCTCACGTCCACGCCCTCCCCTTGCGCTGTCGCATGCATTTGCTTGCTTGCTTGCTTGGCTCTCGGTCACGCAGCCATGCAATGCTTGGTGTGCCTGAAGGTGACGGAAAAGCCGGAAGGGGTGCGTGCGCGCGATGGTCTCAGCAACGGGCCGTTGCCAACGGTTCGGCGCTCCCGGCTCCTGTGCAATACGTGTCGCAAGGACAACAAGGAAATGCGGGACGCCTTGGCTGCCATCGTGCAAAACTGTCCCAAGCCCTCATACATTGACAAAGGTGGGGTGTTTTTGGGGGGGGGGGGTATATCTGTGTGTGTGTGTGTGTGTCTGTCTGTGTCTGTATGTGTATGTGTATGTGTGTGTGTGTGCGAATGTATATGTGTGTGTGTGAATGTGTTGTGTGTTGTGTGTTTGTGTGTGAATGTGTGTGTGTGTTGTGCTTGTATGTGTGTGAATAGATGTTGCTTTGGGTGCGTGGATGCCACCACTGCATCGCCTTGGCCCTTCTTACCCTCGTTTTCATCCGAATGGCTGGCCTGCCCGCAGACACGTGGATTATCCATTGCATTCGGCTGGTGAAGGCGAAAAAGAACAAGCCCGTCCGCAACAGAAGACTCTTGCATATGCTATCACACACAAGTACGTGCGTGTGTACATGCGTGTGTACATGCGTGTGTGTGCGTGTGTGTGTCTGCCTGTCTGTCACTCCCACCCTCATTCTCCCACTCACACCCACACCCACACATACGTACACGCACATACGTACACACACACGCGCACACACACGCAGACATTGAGCAGGTGATATTCAGCGCTTATTTGAACGAGAGGGAGATTAACCAACACATCGCTCGAATTGCACGCGAGTACGGTGGCGCCCCAGCCGTGCAGTCACAAGCAGGCGTCTGCAATCGCTTGCAGGTGAGAAAGGAAGACAACAATGCATTTGACTAACACAAACCCCACCATTCAGCTAAGGGCATGTTACTCTCGTAACGTCAACTGCGTGTCCTCACACCTTCCTCTTGCCTGTGCTGTTTGCGTGCAGGTATGCGGGGAGACTGTGGAGCTGACCCCTTACATCATTCCCCAAGACAAACAGCAAGCGTTCCAGCAACATGTAAAGGCCGAAGTCGCGGAGCTCTTGACGCGACATCACCGCTTCGTCATGGCGGTGAGAACAAGAAAAAAAGAAGCGTGTGTGTGTGTGCGTGCGTGTGTGTGTGTGTAGGTTGGGGTTGATCAGGGAAAGGGAAACAAGGGGAGGGAGGGAGCAGTGGTGTGGTGATTGCGTGTGTGTCTCTTGAAACTGGATGACGTGGGCTGAGAGTACGCAGCTGTCCTGTGAACCCTCTACGTCTCACCCTCCAACGTCTCACTTTCCAACGTGCGTTGCATTGCCGCGTCATCCACACACCGCAGCAGGACACCACGACTGGTGGCGGCCACAGCGATGCCGCGTTTCGAAAGCGGGCCATCGAGTATCACGAGTACAGCAACTACCGCACCCTGTCGCCAGACAAGATCCTGATGCAGTGGCTCTTCTGAGAGTGGAGGCTGCTGTTCATTCTGGTGCAGTGTGTGAGGGGTGGTTGTTGAGGGAAGGAGGGAGAAGGGGAGGGGGAAGGTTGTGTGCTTCTTGTGTGTGTGTGTGTGTGTGTGTGTGTGTGTGTGTGTGTGTGTGAGTGTGGCTGGCATAAACGGCAAGTCCCATCTGCAAGTTGGCCGGTGTTGGAGGAGGAAAAAAACACAGGGTGGATGGATAAGAGTGTGGGGTGGATGGAAGTCGAGAACAGGTTGCGTGAGACAGCGAGATCACAAGATCGAGAAGGAACAGAGGTGCTGTTGTTGATGTTGTTGTTCTTTCCCACGTCACATCCTCATCACGTCATCACAGCGTGCGTGGTTGTGCTTGGTATGCGACTGAGTTGAGGAGTTGAAATACATACAAACGCCCACCCGCCGCGAGCGAGCAAGTCGTGGTGCATGCATGCCACATGTCACACTAACACGTAGCGACTCGGTCGAATTCCACAAGCTCTTGCTCATGCGTTGCCCCCGCTTTGGGACCACTTGTCGCAAGCTGCTCGACATGTCAACGTTGACAGCAGAGCGTACACGACAACAACCCAAACAAAAGCAGGCCAGCTGCCTCACAACCAACCACCCCAACCCACCACCACTTTCCACAACACGATACCGTCACCAAGCAGAGCTCGAAGTCAGCTTTCTCCGCACACGAAGAAAGGCAAGCAGAAGCACGCGATCTTCTTCGGCATCTTCGTTCTCTCTCCTGTTCTTCGTTCGCTCTCCTGTCCCTTGGCCCCCCACCTTATTTTTCATCCCCCCCCCCCCTAATTGCATGTCTTTGCTCTCGCTGTGTCACCATTTCATTTCCATCGGATGTGACCGCCCCCACCCTTCCTTGTTGATGTTTGTTTTGGTTTCATGTCACACATCACATCACCACCGCGATGGCAGGTTCCACCAGGAAAGGCTTGCGACGAAGGGCACCCTGACACCGCCACAGCGAACAAGTTGTCAACACCGTCAGCCAACAGCAACACCCAAGATACCACAAGCCTCACTTGAGCGAGCAACTCGAAGCGAGCACCGCCTTGAGCGCTTGAGCGAGCAACTTGAAGCGAGCACGTAAACAACAGCACAAGCCCGCGAACGACCGCGGTTGGGTGAGTTGACCAGCCTCGAACAAGATGTGCACGTCGGGTGATGACTCCGCACGCGCTCCAGCTTCTGCCGTCTTTGCCTCACCTTCCCCTCTCCTTTCCTTTCCTTTGTTCTTTGAAGAAAGCAGTGATTGCAACTGGCCATGGCCGATCGCCTGACTTGCGTCCAACGGGTAATGCCATTTGTGGCAAACGTCCCACATCCTACCCCGGCCGTCAACACCCTTGCCCAGGTGTGTGTACATGTGTGTGCGCGTGTGTGTGTGTATGGTGTGTGTGTGTGTGTGTGTGTGTGTGTGCGTGCGTGTACATGTGTGTGTGTGTGGACATGTGTGTGTATGTATGTGTGTGTACATGTGTGTACATGTGTGTACATCTGTACATGTGTGTGTGTGTGGACATGTTATGTGGACATGTGATTGCCGCACCCGTGGGCAATGTCGCCAGGCAAGCGAGCGACCAAGCAAGCGAGCCTCGTTACGTTCCCCTCACTTCTCGTGTACGCATGCACTGCATGACTCGCAGAAGAAGCAGCAACCACTTCAGCATCTGCATCCGGAAGTACGTGCAGGGGTTGTGTTTGACGCCGCTTCAATCCACGATCCGCAGAAGCAACCACCGCAGCGGGGCACGCACGGAAACCCGCGGAACAGCAACAACAGCAGCCATGACAGCAAGGCCAAGCAGAAGCCCTTCTTCCGCTCCCAGCATGCCCAGCCCTTGGGCAACATCAACATGGAAGGAGTCCGCAATAAGACGCACGCAAAGAAGATCGCCCACGTGCAGCATCGACACACGCCATACCCACAAGGGTGTCAAGCTCGGAAAGGGGAGGGCGTCCCAACCCGTGCTGCATACGCGCAGAGGCTGGCCACTTTCTTCGTCGTCGGCTTTATTGCCCCCTTCGTGATCCAGCTAGCAGACGATGATGACATGCTTGAGGTTGACATCACCACATCCTCTCCTCAACACTCTGCGGCCGTCCAAAGCCTACCCGCTTCATTCCACAGAACACGCGGCGATGATGATGATGACGGTGATGATGCACGACACCCGCACAACGGAAACAATGGCAGTGGCAGTGGCGGCGGCGGTGGCGGTGGTGGAGGCGGGCGTCGCGATGGTGGTGATCGAAACAGACGTCGCAAGCGCCGCAAGCGCCGCAAGCGTCGAAGGTCAAGTACGCCTTCCCTTGTTGATCATGGCTGGTGGTGGTGGTGGTGCTGCTGCTGCTGCTGGTGGTACTGGTGTTTGGTGCTGCGTTGTGTGCTGAGTATGTGCGGCCTCACAGCCCATTGCTTCTTCGCGTCCCCTCTTCCCCCAATTGACTCTTCCATTGACTCTTCCCACCACGTTGCACCACGCTGCACCACGCTGCACCACGTTCCTTCTGTCCACCACGCTGTTCCTCTTCCCTCTCTGTCATACAGCAAGCCGCCACTCGCCGCCACCCCCCTTTTCAGCATGCCAGAATCGTCGTGGCTCAAAGCAGAACAAGAGTTCGTGTGGCACAAGCAGGAAGTGTCGCTCCGCCCACATCACGTCCAGCGCTCAACGTGGGTGCATGTGTGCATGTGTGTGTGTGTGCATGTGTGCATATATATGTGTGTGTGTGTGTGCATGTGTGTGTGCATGTGTGCATGTGTGTATGTGCGTGTGATCTCATCCTTGCTTCCTATGTGTTGTTACACCACGCGCGCGTGTTTTTCTATTGTGTGCAGGGCGCCTGCTGCAGCGGACACACCCGCTGACGAGCCACCGCCGCGGCTTTGCGCAGGCGAGGGCTGCCTTTCGGCGGAACCGTTCCCACCGCCGTGGCTGATGCCAAGTCAAGCGGGGACAACCAGGGGAAGGAGGAGGAGGGATGGCTTTTGTGGCGTCTTTCACACTTGATGGTTTGATGGTGCCTTGGTTCTAGTCGACCGCCACCTTCCATCGTTTGTATTGCGTGCCACGTCTGATTCGCCCCCTTCTTCTTTTCCTCAGTGACTCCAAAGTTGGAGCACTCACCTTTTTTTTGGTTTGGTTTGTTGCGGAATCAACACCAGTGCGATTGCGCATGAGGGCCAGCACCGGCCTTTGTTTTGTTTGTTAACGTGTGTGCGCGCGTGTGCGTGTCTGTGCACGTGTGGTTGTGTTTTCTTTTTTTTTTCTGTATTCATTCATGTTCGGCGTTTTGTCCTTTGTGTACTTGTGTTTGTGCTTCTCCAAAGGCGTGCCGTTTGTCCTGTTGTCTCCTTCTTCAACTTACTCTCTCGATGTTGGCGGTGCTGGTCCTATTGTCGCAACCTGTCGCTGGATGCTTTCAAAATTGAAAGCCCACCCAATTGTGTGTGCGTGTGTGTATGTGTATGTGTATGTGTGTGCGTGTGTGTATGTGTGCGTATGTGTGCGTGTGCGTACGCGCATGTTTCTTTCTTTTCTTTTTCTCGTGCTTGTGCGTGAGGCGCTTGTGACACAGACATCATGTCGATGTGTCTGAGCTCAGGTCCACGCCCCGATTTGCTTCTTTTGCTACTGTTTGCTTGATTGTTTTTTGTTTTTCCAAAAGCGTTCATGTCACTTCGTTTCCAACGTTGCTATCGTTGCTGTCATTGGTGTCGTCGCCATCGCTTGCGATCTGCTTCCAGGCTTCCGTGCCACCTGAGGTGGCAGTTGGTTCGCGGAAGCGATTGAGGTCGCTAATTGCTTGCCGCTGCTTGCCTTCACGACTGAATACAGTGGAACGATGACAAAATGCACGAAACAGTCGAATGTGTGGCCGCCTGTCATCAGTCCTGAGCGCGTGCGTCTCCACTTTACTGAAGCACGCACGTGATAGCGTGATTCGTGTGTGATGACGTCATGCGTTGACCCGAACACAACCACTGATGTGACACTACGATGTGATGTGACAACCCGTGCTCGGTTTTCCTTGTGACTCCCCGTTATTCCTCACCAACCACCCCCGTGTTTTATTATGCACTCGTCGTTGGCTTTGGTGTGTGACATGAACGGTGACACCTTGCACTGTACAAGAGTTGCCCGCATGCTGCCCGCATGCTGCCTCCATGCATGCCTTGCTTCTCTTCTTGCTTCCTTTTTTTTTATTTCTTTCGTGACCTTCCTTTCGCCCTGGCCATCGTGGGCGTGCCCACCCGCGCTGTCCTCTGCGTGTTGTTGATATTGCTCCACCGTTTGTGCTGTGCTCGTCGCTCGTCCCGCTGTGAACGCGCCATGCCTCTTTCATTGCCACCACTTCTGTTTTGTTCACCATTGTACTGCGCGTGTATGTAGGGACGTATTTGTGTACATGAACAAGAAACATCAACCGCAAAGAATCAGCCCATGTCACGTGAGCGCGCAGACGCGTTCACTCCTCTGCTTGCACGGCCTGGAACTCCTCAGGCTGTTGCGAGGACACACAAAATGGTCAACGGTGATGGTGGTGGGTGGTGAGTGGAAGAACAAGAAGCAGGTCAGTGGTAGTGGCATG